CGGTCAAGTATGGTGCCGGCAACCGTCTCTCAGCCGCAAGGCTATGGAGTAGTGCCGGACGTGTAGAGCAGCGGTCGCTTTAGCCGACCTTGTAAACGCCATCGCCGCGACCCTGGCAGCAACGATCAAATCTACCTTCATTGATGCCGTTGCCGAGTCCAAGAGCATCCTCACACCTGTGTGAGAGCTCATCAAACGCAGTTGAACTTTTCTCCTGCGTGGCTGCACAGCAGTCCTTGGTGGCCCGGTAGTGAGGCTTTCCAGTCCCGTCCTTGGCTACGGTGCAGTACATTGAATGAGCCGCCATTACGCTGTTCACGGCACAGAGCGCCAGAACAATCAGTACCTTGGCCTGCATTCTGTAGACCAAAAAAAAAAGAAAAAGAGTCAGGTTTTGAGTCGTGTGAGTCAGTCTGGCCTAGTGTCCCACCACATTCCGCTTCGGGCTTACAGCCTACCTCGTACTGGTGGCTATGCTGCCGTGGAGGACGAAGCTTTGGAGTGTGCAAGATTGTGCGGTATCGAATTATAAACTAGCAATGATGTGTTGTCTGCTGGGAAAAAATAATCATCGACAAGCCCGTTTGGCTGGCTCTTATACCTTTGCAGCAAGGCCATACTTCAGCATCGTCTGTACCCGCAAGGTCGTCAAGCACCTCTGTTTCCAGACGAAGTACGACAACCGCATCGGCACTCGTCTCACCAGGTCACGCAGCAGCCGCTGTGGAAGAGCCGAGCAGCTGTCGAGTGACAAATCGGCCCCCGCTTTTCGAGAATCGCCGAGACATTCCTAAATGAACGGCGACAAGATTCAGCCAGGTATCAGCAGACAGCACCGAAGCGTCGCCGTATCGTCTGGTGGGTCATTCGAAACTCGAGACGTCCAGACGCGACGAAGGCGTGGCGTTCCAAGCGTTGCCGTTCCCCTGTGCTACTTGCCAGGTCTTGCTCGTCCAGCTTCCTCTCCAAGTAGCCAGACTGTGTGACCAGACCAGCGCGTCAATGTCTCGGAGATCCGGACCGGTTCGATGTCGCTGAACAGGCCTATTCGATGTCCTTGTCGCCACGAATCTCGATCCCGCCCGAGCTTGATTCTTGCAGTTCATCATGGAGGTGGCTGCGTGATGTGTCACTCTCCAAGATCAGTCAAATATTTCATCCCCGGCTGCCAAGAGATGAAGGTTCGGCATCCTGAGTACCTGACTTGACTGGATGGCCTCCAAGAATGCACTCGGTGACAGCGGTATTTCAAGATCGACAAGTGTCACAGCGACGTTTCGTGCGTATGACTCTGAACTAGACCGACACACACACGTCCAGTCTCGCGCGAGATTCTTTTCTGTCCACACTATCATGGACGATGCGATCAGGTCTGAGGCGGGATTTTCAGCGCTGAATGTGAGATTTCAGGGGTTGAGGAGAAAAAAACGAAATGATGCTGCGCGGCTGCGAAGCGGGGGGAGCCTGGTGTTGAACAGGCACTGACGGAGAGAAATGAGAAAAAGGCGGCTTGAAAGGAGCTGCGACGAAGAGTCGCCGAGTGAGGTCTGTTCGGCTCACAAAGAGCGGTCAGACCTGCCAGTCAAGATGCAAGCTTAAAGAGACTTGCCGACGCGGCCGTAATGCTCACAGCACTTGAAGTAGATGCTCGTGACAAGAGGAACCTTGTGGGGGCCGAGCTGGGTCTGGCACACGTGGCGGTGAGAGTCGTAGGTGATGTCGGCGTGTTCCTCGTGAGCGTTGCAGCACTGCTTGGTGATACCCTGGTCAATCGTCAGGTGACCCTTCTTGACGATGCCGCAGTAGGCAGAGTTGCTTCCCATCACGTTGGTGGCGGCGCATGCCAGGGCCAGAACAACGAGTGCCTTGATCTGCATTTTGAGTGTCTGTTTGGAGAGGGTATGTCAACACACAGCTTCATTTCGCTTTTGCTGTGGGGATCCTTGCACTCACTGTTTTTTGGGCTGATTGCTTGCGTTGTGGCTCGAGAGATGGGCAGCTGTTTCTTGGCCTGGCGGGTTGATGACACACAAGTCGATGATTCTGAGACTCTTTTGAGCGACTATTTATCTGCTTTCTCCACTGTCAGACTCGTTGGCACTGTACACTCAATTGAAGCCACAGCGTCAAGCGTCCCGTGGTGCTGGTCACCAAACGACCAAAATCCTCTGTCGCTGTTCACAAGGTGTCGCTCAGAGCTGGCAGAGCTGGACGGCTCTTCTCCAATCTCTACAGCCAAACCAGTTGGCACGAAGCTTCATGGTGACTAAGGAAGCATTTGATGACCGCCTGACAAGAGGCTCCTCGGCTCGTCGAACGACTACCTTCTGCGGCATCATGTGACGGTCACGCGGCGACCTTCGTCCGAACCGCCGGAGAAGGATGCCCGGCTCCCAGCCTCGCTTCTATCGAGCCCTGGAGAGGCTAACAGATGTCGATAGTCGCCAGAAGAAAGAACGTGACCTCTTTTCTTCGATTCGACGTGGGTTAGCCGAAGCACGAGCGCCGCCTCTCGGCCTTCTAGACTTGCTGCTGACGGCTTTGCCTTCTTCAAAAGCGGCTGATGGACTCGGTCTCTTGTGTAAGTGCTTCATACAGCACTCTGAAGAAGTCGTCAAGTGCAGAAGCATAGCAAGATTCAGCACTGTCTAGGATTTGATGCTGACTAAGCCAGGCGGGAACGTGCAAACATCGGTCTCGAGGTCGCCACGAGCCCTATTTTCAGCGAAATTATGTGGCTAATTCAGATGAACTGCCAGATAGATGGCCAAACAGTCCGTGCTCCTTAGGTCCATGAGCTTAAATATAATGCTCGGTTCACGCTCAAAGGTCAAGCACGAACAGTCCAAGCGGTAGGAAGGGGAGAAAGCAGTGTAATTGAGTTCAGACTGCCTGATGTTGAACAGGCGAAGAGGTTGGTTTGCACGTTCAGTAGAGAGCTAGACGTAGAAAACGAAGGAAGCTGAATGGCCCCAGCGGTACTGGATGGGTGAAACTAGGAGGCATAAAACTTGAGCGGAGAGAACGACTTCAATTGCCGTCGGCGCTTCGGCCTCGGCTTCGGCAGCATCGGAAGAATCTGCCCGAGTTGATGCCGTTGCCGAATCCGAGTGCGTCCGAACAATGGTGGCTAAGCTCGTTGAAGGCGGTCGTTCCATGCTCTTTGGTAGCAGCGCAGCAGTCTTTCGTCACCTGATAGTCGACCTTTCGACCGGAGAGACACCACGCATTGTGGCCACCCAGGACACTGCTGGTTGCGCAAACCAGCGCCAGAACAACAAAGATGTTGGTCCGCATTGTGAACTGTAAGGAGCTGAAAGCAAAGACCGACTGGTTCCTTCGTTAGTGTGTATTTTCTACCATCACGCTGATGTGACAAAGACTCCTTACTTGTGTATCTGAGGTGTGGTCTGATAGAATCCAGTTGCGATTGAAGGCAGCTTCTTGTGTTGCGTACTCCAATCCAAAGGTTCCTTTCCGGAAGTTGGCTATATATTTCCTTTTCAACATGTCGGTGCCTTTGGTGGCCAGCTCTGGACGACTCCTTTGGGCCGCACCTCCTCTTCGCAATTTTGGGCAGCGGCCAGGAGGCGGCTTCTAGCGAGTACGCCGTGCGCCAAGATCCAAAAAGGTCATTTCGTGTCTGATGGATCAGACTTTAGAGTTGTCTTGTTGATTGAGCTGTCAACAATCAAGTTCCCGAGAACTTATTTTTGCGCTATCTGTCCTGTGGCGTGTCTGGATACAATGAACAGGACCCTTCTGTTCGAAGCAAAGGCTGAAAACGCAGGATTCCTCCACTTATCTTGGTCCCCGTTGATGTCAAGCACCATGATCAAAGGATCAGGAAGATTCCTACCTGGTGACTTTGGGCGTCACATCGAGCGTCGATCGGCAAAACTTGAGAACACCGTTCGTAGTCTCTCTAAAAGCACCAGTGTCAACAAGGCAGCTCGCTCAAGTTGCGACTGCGTGCGACGTCGGCACGGAGAAACACAGCAGAGCGAGACCTCGATTGGAAAAATTACCCCTTAGCGTGAACTATCGTTTAGTCTGGGCTCGAAGTCTTGGCGCAGCTTATTCACGGCTCTATTAGGTTTTCAGAGATAGGTTGCTGACTCACGGAAGCAAAGAAGCGGATTAATCTGACTACGATGTCAATGCTGAAAAACAAAGCCATCACATGTTGGCTAGTGCTCCGATGAACTTGAGATCGGGTGGTCATCAAGGCGGAAGCTGCAGCCTTGTAGCAGAGTTGCGGACAGAGACATCGACACATCCCGCACTGGAAGCTCATAAGCCTGTATCTCCAATACGATCGATCTGTGAGACGGAGAAATTTGCGGAGAGCATCCGTTTCTGGACATGGCTGCTTCAGAACTACGGTGATCAACATAGCGAGGCGAGAGATTGCAGAGCAATGCGAGATTGAGCCGAGTCAAGCTCTGAGTAGCATGCGCATACGGCCTCTTATCAGCACTGCCAAAGAGAATGATGACACCGATGGGACTTTGGAAGACAATCCCAGCCACGGCAATTCCATATCGACACAACGCTATGTCGAAGCCGTGGCTTCCGACCGTGCGGGGCAGGACCGGGAGAAGCTGCGAATGTATGGAGTAACTGATTCTAACGCGACCTCGTCGTTAATCGTGTGGCGCCGCATCGTCTTGTAGACGGTTTAGCACGGTCAACGAGCCAAATCCCGCAGCTCGACGTGGAGCTGAAGATTTACGTTTCCGTCCCGGAAAAAAAAAAGAACGCCGCAAAAAGCCCCCCAGCTCGAGGCCGACTATGCTAGACGAAACACGGATGAAAAACCGATTACAGAAACACCGCATCCTGATCTTCTTCTATGCCGTATTCCAGTCGATAGTTTTACGCACTGCCCGTCCACGTCGATACCCATTAAGCTAAAGCTCGTTCGCAGCCTGACAAGCGCAACAGCGGCACGGAAAGTTGACAAAATCACGGGGAAAAGAAAATAAAAAGAAATTCTTTGCCCCCAACCAGGTTTGAACTAGTGACCTTGTGATTGTGCATCGCAGCCGAATCGGTGGAATTCTGTCAACGCTTAAAATTGCGTTGGCGTGTACAAGTCACACGCGCTACCACTACGCCATAGGGGCAATTTTTCGAAATTTCGAAGATCGGGTTGTGTATATAGACTATGAAATCTCTAGGCCCATTTTCTCATACAATTTTCGATTCCAACGAATCATGAACAGCGGCAAGTCATGACATGCTTCCAGTACAGTGTGATCATGTGATGAATTTCTGATCATACAAAGACATGTAGGAGCAGGACTGGAGTGAGACGAATACGTACGGGGAGTGACAAAAGAGGAAAGACGGTCATGCGGGGTGGGACTGAGTGGTAAAGCCACTTTGAGTCTAGTCCTCCTCGTTAACTAGCGAGTCGGAAGGCTCGATGGTTCGGGACCAGGATCGACGTCGGTCTCTGTCGGTTCATTGTCCCAAGCGGTGTTGATTACACAAAGGCGGGCTTGAAGTCAGCTGATCATGTCGGATAGCGAAAAGTAGAGCCTCGCGTGTGGCGGTCTTGTGGAGGATGTACTCACTTGAGATCGGTGGTGGTAGGTGCAAGGTCGCGACTCTCGCGCTTGTTGGTCTTGCTCGACGAGTCCGAGGCTGTGGACGAAGAGCTAAACTGGCCAGACATGCGCGCAGATCTGGCACCGGCTGGTCGAGGTCCACGCGGTCCACCTGTGGTCGAGCTGCCGCTGCTCACTCGACTGCCGCTACCACCTAAGTTTCCCGAGTTAAACTGGCGCGACAGCCGAGCAACGTTCGAGAGCGGCTTGTCCTCGTCTTCGATAGGCATCGTCTCGGCCTCTTTGACTGGCTCGACGGGCTTCTTATCCGAAGCACTGGACGAAAGCACTCTCTCGGTAAGCGGTGTCGGGGCCGCTGCATCGTCAGCTGTCTTGAAGTCCTTTGTCGCCGAAGCGAGGTCCGATGTTACAATAGCTGGAGGAGCTGCTGCGACTGTGGTCTCTTCGGACAATGGATCAGGGCCAGATTCTGTCTTCCCTTCTGTAGCAGCAGCCACCATGCTGGACATTGGCAGCGATGGTACAGGCGGCACATCCTTCGCATCCTTGCCGGGGGGACGCGGTCCCCGCTCCCGCTCGTCCATCTGCTCCATCAGTATCTTGGCTCCCTGCTGCAGGTCCGTGCCAATCGAGCTTCGCTTAATGCGCTGGTCAACAGGCTTGGTGCGCTTGCGAATTGGCGCCCGACGCTGACCGTCGACGATTGAGCTCGAGACGCCGTTGCCGTTGCTGGCGGCAGCAGCCGGGGTGTTTTTCTCCTTGAGCTTCTTTTCGACCAGAGCGGGGAAGATATCGGGATAGTACTGAATGAGGTCCATAACCACCAGGGTCGCATTGGGAACTGTGATGCTGTATGGAGTCTCGTGTCGAGGTCGCAGAACAGCACGTCCGAGGGCGAGACCGAGCTTGTTCAGATAGATGGCATCGGCCTCGGGCGACTTTGTGCTGGTCACGAGACGATACAGATGGCTGGCAAGAGCATCGAGGCAGGCCAAGTGGATACGGGGAAGTTTGCCGAGCACCACCCGCAGATCATCGAGCACGCCCGCACGGATCTTTTCCTCAGTCGTCTTGTCGACACGAAGGACAGAAGCTGTCTTCCTTTTTGTTGCATCTGCGGCGCCGTTAGTCTGTTCCTCCTCTTCAGTCTGCTCGGCTTCAGTCTTCTTGGTCTCCTCGTTGTTTGCCTGCTGCTGCAGTGCGGCAAGGGCCTCACGCTCCTGTCCAGCAGCTGCGCGGTAAATCGAGTCGATCTGGTCCCATAGGTCCCCCATGATGAGACTGTGCTCCAACTCCAGTAGCCAAAGTTTGATACAGGCAGCCAGCACGGGAGGATCGTACGCATCGAGCATACGGTCTGGAATGCTTCGGGGATTGCCATCGGCCGAAATGCTGTCGCCGTAGATCATGTCGGCGTGCGACGGGTTGAGCTGGGCGATCAAACCATCTCGCAGACGGTGAGTGACGGGTAAAGGCACTTCGAGCACCCAAGTCTTTCTCTTCTCTTGGCCGCGAGTCACGAGTGCTTCTTCCTCTGTTTCCGTGTCGTGATCAGTTGCGTCCTTGGGCGTCTTTTCTGGATCACTCTCGACGTGGGCAGCAGCCTTTGACGATGGCCATCGTTCGTCCGCTTCGTAGGCTCTCTGCAGAGCCGCGAGCAGGGCCTCGAGGACCGGCGGCAACAGTGCAAGTCGAGATGCATCATCGGTGCTCTCACTCGATGCAGCAGTGCCGTTCTGTTGCTGCTCAAGCCTCTCAAGATACTCGATGCGCTCCACCAGGGCGAGATCCAGTCCGAAACCGCCATTCTTGGTGAGCCAGCCGTAGGCAATGCTCTGCGAGCCGGTTTTGCGACCCAGCGAGATCTCGTCGTGGTAGTATGGCTGGAACCGTTCGATCGCCGGTACGAAGGGACCAGTGCGGGCTTCGCGGATCATGGCTCGAAGCTCCAGGGATGGATTCAGGCCCTCGTGAATGTGGAAGCCCCTTCCAACGGACTGGGAAAGGATGGGCAGCTGAGAGGAGAGAGCCTGGTTGTAGGAGGCCAGGACAGCCTGCACGGCGCGGATGCGATCCGACTCCCAACGCTGCGTGAGGCCATAGTGCTCAAATAGAGTCTCTTCGACATGGCAGCGAGTACGGTCGAGATTGCGGACAGCCTCTTCATACACCTTTTCGGCATTGTCGGCATCTCGGCGCAGTCGAACATGGCGTGGTTCTCCGGACACGACGCCTCCCACAGCCGCCTTGATTGGGGCGGGCATCTTGTCGACAGCCGAGTTGACAAAAGCAGAAATGGTGCCGGCACGTTTGAGTCCACCTCCTCCGAGGAGAGGCGACGAGCTGGCGCCGTGTCGACCGCTGTCGCTGCTGCCTCCGTCGAGGCTCTCGCCCTCGGTCTCAGTCGGGAGCGGGGGCAACTTGACGCCAGCAAACTCCTTGGACGGCGTTGGCGCATGGGTGGCCGAGGCAGCGCGGTGCGAGAAGCCAAACTGTTTGCGCAGAGTCTCACGTCTCTTGAGTCGCTCTGGATCGGAAACATGGCTCTGGCCCTCTACCGACGGGGTGCTGTCTGAAGAGACGCTGCGTTGCTGATTTTGTTGCGGGTGACCCTGCGGGAGACGGAGATTGTTGGACTTGCTGGTGGGAGGGGAGGCAGTGACCGCCTCCTCTACGGGAGCAAATCGAGCGTCATCCTCAGCCTCGTCTGCAGCGCGACACTTGGACTCGTAGTTGTTCTTGAGCTTGTCGACCTCGGTCTTCTGGCGTTCGAATCGGGTGAGACTTGCATCTACGTGTTCCCAGCTTGCCGTGACGCGCTCGCGGTGCTCGAGCGCCCACTTGCCGAAGGGGTCGAGAATGGTCTTTTCGAGGTTGCGAGCCACCTTGCCGTGAGCGTTTGCGTGGGCTGAGGTGGTCTCAGCCTGAATGAGTCGAAAGGCGTGCGACGTGGCCGAGGTGTTGGTTGGAAAGCCGCGAGTAGCAGGAGCCGAGCCTATGGGGCCGTCGAGAGGACTGACGGGCGAGGCGAGCACCTCTTGAATGATGCCGCCGGCTTGTCGGAATAGCGGTGCGGGCAGCGAAGGCTGAGGCGGAGGGGTGGCCAATGCCTCGGCATGGTTGTATTCGAGCTCAGCACGATGCGCTACAAAGGCGAGAATGGTGTCGTTCTCGTCGAGGCCGGCTTGCAGCTTTGCATACAGGCTCTGGGCACCCTTGCGATACGAGGGGTGGGACCAAAATGAGTTTTGGAAAGACGGCGGATAGATCACCGTGAGGGCCGATGGTGCGCTCATGGCCAAACACTTTGGGCGTACGCCAGCTGCGATGTATGGTTGATAAATATCGAACTAGGTTCGAGACCGGAAACAGGGGGCGCACGGATGCTTCCGGGTGATCCGATGCGAAAACTCGTATGCGCGACTTGAAGTGCGAGCCCGAGTGACAAACAAGTTCGTTGCGAGATCACTTCGCGGACCAATCAAGTGATGTGATGTGTGTGTGAGATAAAGGTGAAGGTGAAGGTGAAGGTGAAGGGAGCAGGATCAAGCAAAAGTGATCTGCTGGGAAAGGTATTGCGGTTGTGACAGGAAGAGGTACGACGGGGAGGGTTCACGGATCTGGCTCGGTTGCGCTCACTTCTGGAACAGGGTGACACTGACAAGTTGGCTAGGTCGAGCCGAATCGACCAGAAGCGAAAAATGCGGATGCGTGCGTGTGTGCGTGTATGCGAGCGAACGAGGCGTGCAACAACGACGGTCCCACAATGACCAGCTCTTGCAGCGGTAGGGTGGGACTTTTCTGATTACTGCACTGCCGCCCGGACCGGCATTGTACAGTACTATACTGTACATTTTGCTCACGGCGGCGAGCGAAGTGCGGCCTGACGGATGCCGCAAACGGAACAGAGAGGCAATTCCGAGTGCAAGTTCCCCGATACGGAGCAACAACGGAGCGGGAGAGCAGGCAGAATCTGTCATGCAGACGCTTTCCGAAATAGGGAGCTTCGACAGACCGACGGCGCAAGCGCGAGGTAGGCGAGCTCAAAATGTGCATGCAGATCAACACTTGGGCACCCTCGAACGAGCCAGGCAGGCAGGCAGGCGGTGGTGTCCCCTTTGCGCTGTCTGCTCTCGACGCGTGGCTGTGTGTGCATTGCAGCAAACAGCATGTTGCACCTCGCACAGGATCTTACATGCGTAAAGAGCACGAGCACACCAAGACTGTAGTACATACTGTACAAGACTGTTCTTGAACACGGGGTCACGGCGCACTGGCCATGCGAAACGAAATTCGCCCCCCATTGCTTGCTTGCACTTCGCCGCGATCTACCCGATGTGCGAGATCTCGTGGACCGAGGCTCGATTCTGACCGCCAAGTCCACATCGCAGCCAAGAGCAAGGATACAAACACTCTCCGTCGAGAACACGACCGTAATCAACTATTCTTGCCTCGTTGTCGACGAAGATCACACGACTTCGTGTTCTTGATAGAGTATGAGATTTGCGCCAGTGAAATGCATTGCAAGCCATCACACAGTGACGTGTGCCAAT